GAGCCGGCATGAGCTGCCGGGAGCTGCCATGAGCGGCTATCCATGGCCGGCGAGTGACTGCCTCACCCAGGAAGAGCACAATGATAATACCAACATGGGCCAGTGAAGCGACGTCCTCCACAATTAGACTGAAGAACAAAAGGACTGCAACTTGTCTGTTCCCCTTCCCCGATTCCCCAATAAAATCTTTTTTTGAAAAAAAGAAAACATTGATTTTTGCATGTCAATCTTATATCTTACAACTTTTCTGAACTCATTTATTAGTTTTATTAGGCTTTTCTTGGGGTCTTTGGAATTTTTTTTATATAGAATCATATCCTCTGAAAATAGAGATGATTTTCTTTCTTCCTTTCCTACTTAGATGTCCTTTATATCTTTCTCTTGTTTAATTGCTCTGGCTAGAACTTTCAGTCCAGAGTTGAATAGCAGTGTCAAAGCTTTTAGTCTTTCACCATTGAGTGTGATATTGGCTGTGTGTTTTTCACAAACATTCTTTAGCATGTTGAGATAGTTTCATTTCTCTTCTCGTTTTCTGAGTGTTCTTTTTGTTTTCTTCATTTTAATTTTCATCATGAAGAGGTTGGATTTTGTCCAATGACTTTCTGCAACAATCGTGCGATGTATTTCTTCTCCCTTCCGTCTATTCTTGTAATGTATTTGATTGATTGATTTTTCTTATGTTGAACTACCCTTGCATTCCTCGGACAAATCCCATTTGGTCATGATGCATAATTCTCTTAATATGTTAATGGGTATGGTTCACTAGCATAGCTTTGGGAAGATTTTTGCATCTATATTCATCAGGTCTATTGGCCTGTAATTTTCTTATCCTACAGTGTCTTTAACTGGTTTTGTAAGGGTAATACTGGCCTCATACAATGAATTAGGAAGTGCTCCTTCATCTTGTATTATTTTAAAGAGTTTGAGAAAGTTTAGTGTTAATTCCTTTTTAAATGATTGGCATAATAATCAGTGACACCATCTTCTCCTGGATTTTGCTTTGTTGAGAAGTTTTAAATTACTGATGCAACCTCACCTTGATATAGATCTGTTCTTATGTTCTATTTTTTGTTGAGTCAGTTTTAGTCCTTTGTGTGTTTCTATAAGTTTGTCCATTTTATCTAAGCCATCTAATTTGTTTGTATACAGTTTTTTATAGCACTGTCCTATATTTCTTTTTATTTCTGTAAGACTGGTAGCAATATCTCCAAAAATGAGTTATAAACCAAAAGTACATTAATACTTGCTTTTATGTTAACTTGTGCTGGTACCTTTATTATAGTTTTTCATTTCTTAGTATGACTTTTAATTACTGTCTAGTGTTGTTTAATTTCAGTGTGAAGGACTTACTTTAGCATGTCTTGTAATACAGAAACATTGTCCTACTGTGCACAATGAACACATTCCTTTCTGTGGGACTTATATCCAAATTTCCCATAAGCCTAGCATTATGAAGAAACTTTGCTGATAAATGCTGGATCATAGATAAGTAATAACAAAACATGAAGGTGGGAACCTTAAGATCTCATCTGATAACAAAATTAAATTGCTATAATAGACATGTTGGAAACTGTAGAAATGTAGATGGAGTGGACAAAATATATTGTTAATGTTCTAAAAGAGAGATAGTGATAGATAGAGATAGGGAGATAGATGGATGGTTGGATGGATAGATGATAGATAGATAGATAGATAGATAGATAGATAGATAGATAGCTATAGGGCAAATGTAATCCACTGATACATCCAGGGAGTGAGTGTGTGAATGCTCATTGCACAATTCTTTCAACTTTTTTTGTCACTCAAATGATTTTAAAATTAAACTTTCTGTACTTTATTTTCAGCCTGAGCAATTTAAAAAATTAAAATATTTAAAACATGCATACATGATATTTAACATTTTAATCATTGTGGTGGTCAATTTTGTACGTCCACTTGATTAAGAAACGAGGCCTCCAAATTAAACTTATGTCTTGGTGTGTCTGTGAGGGTGGATGACATTAACAATTGAACCAGTGGACTCAGTAAAGCAGATTTATGTTTTCCACGTGAGTGAGCACCATCAAATGCTTTGAGGGCCTGGAAAGAATAAAAGGCAGAGGAAAGGAGAATTCCTCCCTTCTCCCTGACAGTTGGAGCTGGGACATCTGTCTTCCCTTCCCTTAGACTGAGACTTATACCATTGCTTCCCTGATTCTCAGGCCTTCAGGCTCAATTACACTACTCCTGGGTCTTCAGTTTGCAGATGGCAAATCATGGGAGTTCTCAGCCTCCATAAACTCATAAGACAATTTCTATAATGAATCTCTTTATATATGCATATATATATATATTCTATTGGTTCTGTTTCTTTGGAGAAGCCTCAATGACATAATTTGTTTGTTTGTTTGTTTTTTTAAAGATTTTTTATTGGGGAATTGGGGGATGGGAACAGCGCTGGGGAGCTGGGGGAAGGGGAACAGACAAGTTGCAGTCCTCCCATTCCTCAGTCCAGCTGTAGAGGACATCGCCTCACTGGCCCACGTTGGCACCATCACTGAGCTCTTCCCAGGCGAGGCAGATCAGTCGCAGGCCTCTGGATGGCTGCTCACCGCCGCTGCTGGCTGCTCATACTGGTTGCCGGCCACACACGGTAGCCCATGGTAGCCCATGGTAACCCATGGCAGCCCACTGCAGCAGGGGCTGCAGCCCACGCCGTCGCTGGTGACTCACAGCAGCCCAGAGCCAGGTCGAGCTGCTGTTCAGCATCTCAGCTGTAGAGGGCAGTGTCACCAGCCCTCATATGCGGGATCCGAACCGGGGCCCTCTGGCATCCCAAGCCAGCTCTAAACCAATGCGCCATTTGGCTGGCCCCATAATTATTTTTAAGTGAAAAATTCAGTGTTACTAAGTACATTAAAAATGTTTTGCACCCATCACCTCTATATATGTCTGAAGCTTTTTCATCACCCCAAAGAGAAACTCTGTATTTTATAGACAGTAATTTGGGATACTTGGGACGTTGAGTACAATATGAGGACAGGGTGTTCAGGAGAAAGTCTCCAGATGAACA